TCTGACTCTGTAGTCTTAATCATTCTTTGTGTTAAAGACCTTTTTAAAGGAATTTCTTTTTGTGACTAACTTTCTGTTTTATTAGCAGATGGGCTGACTGTAGACCAGTCGCGAACTGGATACCAGGAGTCTCCACAGACATACCAGAGCCTGGTGACCCAGAACGGACAGTTCAGTCCGGCCGTAGAAAGCAGCCACAGCCCTTTTCTAACTGGAAAAGGATCAAATACATTACAAAGTAAGACATTTCACCTAGGCTATGGATATTAAAGTATAGTCCCGGTGGCCTAATTTTGAGTTTTGTTTTGTTTCAGTGTATAATTCTTCTCTTTGTTCCAGGTGAGACAGATCAGAGCTACTCGTGCCACTCGGCTGAACTGTACGACTCTGACAGACAGAGGCAGTCGTCCTCCTTCTGGCCTGAATATTCCTCTCCCAGCTTCACTGCCCCCATACCACACCCGCCTCTGTCCTCCTGCCCCTCAAACCACGGCCCTCTGTCCTCAGAGCAGTACTGCCCCCGTGTGGCCAAACGCAAAAACACACACCCGCAGAGGCCAGACAGGGAGGGCCAGATGCCAGGAATGTCAGCGTATCCAGGTTAGAATTTGCTCTCTTATCTTGTCTGAGTTGCTCTTTAACTCTGATTGGTCTTTACAGGATGAGAATAAGAATATTAAAATGTATTAAAATCCCAGTTGGATTATTTAAAAAGAGTTGACATTTCTGACAAACTACCTCTGTTTACTGATGATTACAAGTTAATAAAAACTAGGTTGCCTTCTGTAACCGAATAAATCATTGTATTTATTCATTCATTCATTCAGGTTCTGGTCCAATCCAGCTGTGGCAGTTTTTACTGGAGTTACTTCTGGACTCTGCCTGCCGAACCTTCATCTCCTGGACGGGAGATGGCTGGGAGTTTAAGATGTCTGACCCTACAGAGGTAAGGAAATATCTTGTTTTGGATTTGGGTGCCTGCTGAGTACTACATGGCAGTGGTGGAAAGTAACTAAAAACATATACTCAGGTTCTTTTAATTTTAAAGGTACTTTTCAATTTTACAGAATTAGACTTGAGTATTTCCATTTTATGCTACTTTATACTTGTACCATGACATTTAATAACTTAGTAGCGCCTTTCACAAGACCCAAGGACGCTTTACACATAATTGCAGAGACAGAGCAATAAAAAGTCATTCAGGGTTGAATGCCTTTGTGAAGAGGTGGGTTTTTAGGAGTTTTAGGAGTGTCCAGAGAGGGAGCATTTCGGATCTCTGTGGGGATGGAGTTCCAGAGGGTGGGGGCTGCGACACTGAAGGCTCTGTCCCCAAAAGTCCACAGTCTGGTGTGGGGGTCTCATTTCAGAGGGAAACACATATAAGCTTATAAAATACTAGTTGGGGCCCCAGGTCACATTTCAGAGTTTTTAGCAGGTCCACCAAAAGAGACATTTCCCCACTGAACTTCTCAAATGGTTACATGTAAATAACCATTTGAGGCCTAAATAATTCACAAAAAGCAAAGATTAGACAAAAATTCTAAACAGAAAGAGCAACATTTGTAGCAGAGCTTTGTGTTAAAGTATTAAGCCTGTTTCACCTTTGACCCAATTTTAATATAGACCTATACTTAAATATTTGTTGTGTGTAGCTCGAACAAACTACAAAATTGGTTTCGTTATGCAGCCGTATAATGACAAACAAACAACCTCGTACCTTGTACCTTTACTCAGCATCAACTTGGTGTGGACAGAAATGTGCTCTGTTGCACCTGTAACCACGCCCAGTGATGATGTCGGGGTCTGGAGTCCACTTGTACTTCTCTGCAGCTAGGTGAAAAGTTCAACCACTGGAGGTCAGCAAAAACAAGCCTTACTTAGTTAGTCTCTTTCCGTCTCATGACAGATTTCTCTTGTGACCCTTTGGAGGGGCCTGACCCCTAGAACCACTGAACTAAACTACCAAACAGTATATAAAGCAGTTAAAACTAGCCAACCAACTACAACAGTAAAGTACTACATTCTACATATTTTGATACTTTACATTGCCATATTGGTACTTTAACCCAAGTAAAGGATCTGACTACTTCTTCCACAGTTGCTACATGGAGGGTTTATTTAGATTTAAAAACACAGTTCAACTCTTGATGGTTCTTGTTGATCCCACAGGTGGCCAAGCGCTGGGGCCAGTGCAAGAACAAACCCAAGATGAACTATGAGAAGCTGAGCCGTGGCCTGCGTTACTACTACCACAAGAACATCATCCACAAGACTGCAGGCAAACGCTACGTCTACCGATTTGTCTGTGACGTGCAGGGCATGCTGGGAAAGACAGCGCAGGAGGTCCTGACCAGTCTGAACGTTTTGCCCACAAACACAGAGACATGGCAGTGTCCTGGAGGTGCGGCGTCGGAGCTCAGCAGTGAAACGTGGGCGTCACAGTAGAGAAAGGGTGCCAGGACTCTTAGTGCTGCTGGCTGAGAGTGATCAGCACATTTTAAAGGAGTACTACAGCCTACAAAGTCAACACTGACTCCTCAAGCCCCGGCTGAAGAGTATCCTCACAGGGGGATGTTGCTGCAGGCAGACCAGGAGTCCATTTATAAATGCAGAATTTCAGGGAGAAAAAGTAACCAGTTTTTAAAGAGAATATGTTGCTTTTTCTTAAATAATAGATCATACTTAATACGTCCAGTACTTCCAATACCTGACCCAAAAACATATAGCTCCTTAACCTCAGGGCTAAATAACTGCTGCACAGGAACTAGCTCGGGGCATTTTAAGCACTATATCAATAGATACTTTCTGCAATTTCTGGGGCCATTTTTTCATGTGTTGTGTTTCTAAGAAGGAATTGATTTGTAAATAGTGTGTATATTATTTCCATGTAGAATTTTTTGCATTTATATATATATATTTTTTCTATGCAAAACTCATGTCTACCTCCCTTGTTAATCAGAATAACATAAACTGAGATGATTTTCAGTCACTCGCTGTGAAAGTTTTAGCCTGTGTGGTGATTATGTGTAAATAAACTGTATATAAACATGGATCTGTGTGAAGTGTCTCAATCCATAAATATGTTTTCATTCTAGGCAAAATTTGTTTAGTAGTACTCCATCTGGTATCTGGCTTTGATTATGAAAATATTAAAATGTGTTCAGTTTGGGTTATATTATTTGTAATAGCTAAGGTATTACTATAGGTTTTATATATTTAAGTTTTATATTAGACACATATTTGGAAGAATTAGATGAGACATATTTAATATTGAAAAAGAAATAAAAGCCTAAAAAAGAAACTTATTAACAAAGGTATGATATAAATGAATAATTTTAGTGTTTAATCAAATTAAACAGACAATTTCCATTTACTGATACAATCAATAAGTGTGAAACTGCTGCATGCTGTGATATTTTGCCTGAAGGATTTATAGTTAATGTACATTTATCATAGTTATTTTGGTGCTTTTAGGGGTATGAATCCGGCAGTAGTGAGTGAATTGTTAAGCATATTGCATAATGTATGGGCTACAGGCTTTACTTCCTTATCTGGTGCTGCTTTCGAGTGATACTCGTATCTACAGTAGATGGTATGCATACCATTTTATTTTGTTGAAAACAGTATATGCACACAATAATTATGTTCATTCAATAGAGAGATTTTTGTGTTATTCAAATTTATGGGTAATACTGGAAAGGCTACAGGATTAGTTTCATTTTTGCATTTTTGGTGCGTGTGTTTTTTGTGTGTCAGATGTTACATTGCCACCTGTGTTCATTGGAGCGTAAAACAAAATCCACCTGTCAGTGCTGTATTTGCCTACTTTGTTGAATACACGAGCAACTCGTGATTTCGATCATTTCCAGCGGCCCTGAATGCCTCCTTCCTGTATTGAATCAGTACTGTACTCTTTGCTGTAACTTTCTTATAAAGGGAGGGGAAATACGACTACCTGCAACACAAACACAAACTTTTTTTTTTTAGGTCTTTCAGCTGTTGATTTGCTAAGAAATGCCCCCCAGGACTGTTAAGATGTATATAGCAAACACACTGGAAGACCTGAGTAAGCAGGACTTTGAAAAGTTCCGCCACCAGCTTCTGGACCGCAGAGAACAGCCGCGGGTCAGACGCAATATGGTGGAAGATAAAAACTTTTTAGATGTCACAGACGTGCTGGTTTCAACCTTTACCGAGTCCGGAGCTCTTCGGGTGGCTGTGGAAATACTGAGACAAATCGGCTGCAACGAGGAGGCACAGACACTCGGTGAGATCACCTTCTGCATAGGCTACTTTAATTTCCGCGGTTTATTTCGACATTGGAATACATACAGAAGGCCTAGGCTATAACATGCTATAGAGGACAGCAAACTATTAAGGTACCAAAAATTAACTTAAAAGTGCTCTCAAGTGCACAAACCAAATGTGTGTAACACTGTTTCTAATTTACCTCAAACATATAGTTGACTAGGCTTCTTATATAGCATATACCCTACCTTTTCTATTGGAGAAACATGTTAGTACCATCATCCATTCACCTGAAACATTGTAGGTTATTTTGATTTAAACACAAGACTGAAACAGTAGCAACAGCAATATACATACTGTACATCATCAAAATACACATAATTCTTTGACAATCATTAAGACAAATTATTGTTAGATATCAGTTACACAGAAATCACAATTATTTCAACCCAACATGCCTAATCTTTTCAGTTGTAAAATTAACCCACACTCCAACACCCTGTTTGAGGCCCAAACTAATGTTTTAGCTACTAAAGTGGAAACTGTACGCTATTGTCTATGTAGAAAATGTGTCAGTGCTATTCAACCTATGTGTTTCTGTTTTTACAGTCAAAGAGACAGCTGGAGAATGTTAGACATCTCCTTGACAGTGAGTTGACCTACCAAGTATTGTTTTTTTTTCCTGCATGCTATGAAGATGTCAACATGTAAAGAGTACAGCTGTTATGCAAATAAAAGTTTTCTTAAATGTTTTACAGCTGCAAGACCATCAGCAGGAGCCATCATGGTGGGAAAAGGTACACATTGATAGAAATGCTCCTTCTGAGAATATATTTTAGTGCCTGGAGGCCGGATGTTGGCTATTATTTTGTTTTTAATGGTATCTAGTTTATTTCATAGTCAGTTCATTGTTCATTGTTCATTTTGTCACATTAAAGCTATACTAGTCAAAACCACTTTTGATACAATTTTATTTCTGCAACAGCCATTTTATGTATAAACATTCAGTACTTATATAGCTTACCTGTATAGCAATTTTGCTTGTTTATGGTGGGGTCCACCACTTCCCTGCTGAATTTAAATCCCCTGAACAAGAACAAGGGATTCACAGGAAAAGATGCAGCATGTAATACCTCAAAATTTTTTGTTTCAGTTCCAAGGGTTAAATTATCAGTATTCATATCTTCAATATGTTTCACAAAACAACATTTTAGATGAAGAAAATTGCTGCATAACCATTCAAAGAGCAATAAATCCAGATAAAAGACGTAAACCATCAACTCCAAGATTATTCATTAATGAGTTCATCAATGTTGCTCTCTTTCTCCTCAGGGAAACACTCGACACGTGTGCTGTCATTCAGGATGTGAAAATTGTTGCATCCATCATCTCAAATGAACTGCCCAGCAAAAAGGGGATTAGCTGCTGAACCCGAGATGAAAGACTAAGGGAGTCAGTGTTTTATATTTTGTCATCTTAATAAACTTTCTTGGGTTACTTTTCCTCTGTGACTCACCATCTTTAATACGTGAATAACCTCAGTCACTTCAGACAGTTTCAAAAGCAGAACATAAGAATTTATCAGTATTAGTCCTGGCAGGGATTTGAAATAATAGATATGTGGGCATACTGTATATTTCCACAATACATTTGTCTACATAAATTGACCTTTTATTGTGATATTTTGCCTCAAAGATTTATTATCGGCATTAATTTGGGTACTTGGGTATGAATGTGTCAATAGTGTGTTAACTGTTAAGCCTAATTGCAAGTGGTGCTAGAATGTGTTTAAATCAGAGGTTGTAAATTAAAGTTCAACTAGAGAGCATTTGAACCCATTGAGACATGGTTGATCTCGTCATATTTAACTGCAGACTATATTTAGATGCTAACACATTCATTTGTTTGACCTGTTTATGCATTTTTTACATATTCTTATCCTAGGAAGAGGCCTTTGCATATGCCCGTAGAAAATGCTCTGTCAACAAATAGCTGTATGAGTGTTATTGTTAGTGTATATATTGTTATTATAATTATTAGGCATCATTTACATTATAAGAGTTGTATTTAAAGGGGTATATTATTGTTGATAAATAATGTATTAGTCAAGTGAGGTCAATTTTACTGATATAGCACAAAATCATTACCTCAAGGGGTTACACAACCAGTAGAGTGTATGACAGCCTCTATTCTTAGACCCTTCATTTGGATAAGGAGAAACTATGACAGAAACTACTACTGAAAAACCTCTTAATCCATGTTTTTTATTGATAATTGGGAAAATGTGTACAAACTTTTAGCACCTTCATTATTTTTCCATGGGTGCCACAGGAGGACAGGCCACTGTATTCCAAAGAGAAAGAAGGTTTTTGTCTTTATCGAGGGCGGAATGATTTCCCTGTCAAGCTCCTTTTCTGCTTCCTCACTATGGGTCTGGAGGGGAGGCAGAGGAAACATTAATGCATCACCAAATTATCTACAAATGACACTGTTAAATGGGCACTCTAACTTACACAATGAGTTCAGTAATTGCAAACTTTATAAGATGCTATAAAGCTATATATTCTTTCTATAGTCTATAGGCAACACAGGGATACATGGGCTCTTTGATTAATCAAAATGCCAGAGAATGAAATAAATAAGAAATGTGTGTGGAGTAAACTACAGTTATATTTACCTAATCCTTGAGGAGATGGATATGCTGTATATCTACGGTTATATGTGTTGTAATGTTAAGTTTAAAAGTATGTATGTAAGTATTTAATGTCTGGTGGTGAGATGCATCAAGGTACCAGTCAGCTTTTTTTTTGTAAATGTATAAAATATCAAAGCAAATATCAAATCTTTAGCGAGCCTGCAGTAAACATGTGAAGGACACAGAGGTCTTCAACAGCACAGGTCTTGCACTACATACAGCGTTACTAGTCAGTACAAGTTAACTTTTTCAATACACAACCCATACCTTGAGGCAGTGGTAGGCTGGCCTCTAGTGTGTTTTCTGGCTGCTCTAGGGGCAAAGCTGGGGGTTGGCCTCCTGGTGGCAGCTGCACCCCGCCTTTGGTCACGCTTCAAAATGTACCTGATGGCGACCTCCATTTTGGACCCTGGATCGCAGGTTGACTTCTTGGTCCGGAGGAAACTGACATAGCTATGTACAAAGGATATAGTGGTGGCCTTTAATGTCTGCTAGTGTACCTACACCTAAATCCACTGCAATTCACTAATGCATTCTGTTATACCTAATTTTGTTTGGGTCCTTCGATTCGTACAGATCCTGCAGCGTGTCCAGTCGGTGAAGACCAAAGCCAACCAGGGCCTTTCCTTCTTGGCCTGACTGGAGAGATCTGTTGTACCCACGATGAAATCTGACCTCTTTTTTAAGCTCACAGTAAGCAGACGCGTACTGAGTCAAGGAATCCTTCAATGAAAAGAATTGTTTACTCTTTGCACCTGTTCATATTTAATTCAATTAAATTCAAAACAGTTCATTTGTCCCACAAGGGGAAATTTAAGGTAAATACAAATAAACAAACAATCTAAAAATAACGAGGGGAACTTGAAGGTGGAAAAGGCTGCATTATTAAAAACTTTTGGAAACTTGCGAATTTCAGCATGCAGGCAGCCTCTGCATTGCAGTACCTGGTTAGCCATCAGTGGGCTCTGATACATAGTGGGCTCTCGCTGCTTTTGGTGGCCAGCCACTATGTAAGCAGTGTACCCCACATCATTCTCCAACAGCCATTTGAAGGTTTGACCTTTGTACTGGCCAAACTGAATCATAAACCTGCTCAGTACGAGCCAATCATTGGAAGGGTCCCCTCCCTCAGATATGACGCGGGCCTTCGCTTCAGCCTTCACTTCTTCTGGCTTCTTCACACCACTTCGAGTAGCTCGTAAGATCCGCTGGCCGGCTGCTTGTTTCCGAGCCTCCTCTGAGGGCTTTGTCTCCAACTCTCCAGTCGAGGTCTTGGGGAAGATAGGGTCACCTCTCTAAGGAACAAAAATAAACACACCACTGCCAGTATAATTTTTAACGACCAGCCACATGTCAATGTGAATATTTGAATTTCATTGTGTAAAGTTAAACTTACATCCACACAGGCTTTGGTTTTTGAATCTGTAGAATAAGATAACAGTATGGTCAAAGGCTAATATAAGACACAGTGGAACATTATACACTCCACCAGTATGAACATTAATGCCCTGCAGTATTGACTTTTTTAGACTTTTAAACTACATTGTTCCTTTATCATTTTAGAGCACTTAAAATATCTATGGCCACAGCTGTGGCTATTATGGTTATGAATGAATAATAAGTTACTTAGCAGATTAAACATTTTTTTTAGTGTTTGGTAATACATTTTAACCAAGTCAAATTTGACTTGTGAACAGTGTAAACCCTTTTCGAACACAATACGAGGGTTAAGCACTCCTAAATTAGAAAGGAACAATGCAGTTTGCTGTTTGTTGGTAATAAGTAAAATAAAAAAATAAATAAAATAAAATCACATAAACGTTCGATTCTCACTGTGACACATCCACCAAAGTGTCCCTGAGCAAGACACTTAACCTCTAGTTGCTCCAGAGTGGTGTGACCTCTGACATGTAATTATAGCAATTGTAAGTTGCTTTGGATAAAAGCATCAATTAGCCTAAATGACTAAATGTAATGTTATAAAATGATGCTGAAGTTATGACTCCTCCTTTCCTGAAATGTCCAGATTTTAGCTCAGTTTATGGTTATACTGTAACCTGTAATAGTTATAGGATAAGTACCCAGTAGTGAAATAGATAGGCTATAAATTCTTTCTCTAAGTTCTTCCCAAACGTTCAGACTATTTCTCTGTAGGCTATGTCATAGACCTACATGCCCTATGATAATTAAAAAACTGCAGTAGGCTATAAGGTCTTTGTAAGATCAAATAGTTAACGTTACTCCATAACTTCGCATCTACAGTAGGCCTAGTTCGCCAGTAGTCTGTGTTGACCTACCATACCAATATAATTTAAAGTGTAAAGTAACTAAACCGTAAAGCAGGGGGAGAGCCGGGACGATTGAAAAGCGGGACGAATGAAACACAGCGATTTTTCCCTACAAGTCTGATATGCCAAACTACCTCAGCACATACAGTCCACAATACCGGGAAAAATCAGGTGGATACGTCACGCTTTCACGGAGTTATACGAAAGAAGCTGTTTTCAGTCACGGAAAGAAAATTCACTCAAGCGATCTTTTATTTTATTTTTTTTGAATGACGAGTTGTGTTTATTGTTTCATGTGCCATGGTCATGACCACATGAAAGATTAGTGAGAAGGCTACTTTAACACATCCTGAAGTTTTATATATTACCATGTTTATTATATATCTTATCTAGAGGGGCAGAGTCCACCAGGCTGCAGGCTAGACCGGATAGGTCTACTTACAGGCAAATAACAGGGTCATCACAGTAGACCAGGAAAACAGGCTGCAGATAATACATAAAAAGGGCAGACAATGTCTAATCCAAAGGTGGATTAATTGTTGGCGTTTTCGACCACAGCTAAATTACACTTGAATCCTAAACGTTTCTATCGGATATTTTCATCAGTGTTCACTCACACAGTGTCTCTGCCTCCTCGTGGCAGTTAATCTGCTTCAATATCTCCACAGCCACTTCAGGGGCTTTAATCTTGGTGAAGGTTGAAACCAGGAGGTCTGCGATATGGCATACAGTTTTACCCTCCACGGCTCTAAGTCTAACCCGCGGCTCTTCTCTGCGGTCTCTCAGCTGGTGACAAAACTTCTGAAAATGTATCTCACTCAGATCCTCCAGCACATGCACTATAGCCAGTTTGATTGTCGGGTCCATTATTTCTCATCGGATTACAGCCGATTACAGGTTTATGGTAATAGTGGTGGCTGAGTACCATAGTCTGCTTAGTAGGCTACTCAGTGGGGCTCAGCACGTATAGATCCAGGTTAAATTACGCGCCTAAAAAGTCCGTGCCTTCCTTCCGCCTCATGAGACCCAATGCTGCGTTTGAGACACCTGGGAACTTTCCCAGTTGAAAATTCCAACCTCAAAGAGTTACAGGTGCATGATGGGTGTATGACGCCAAAAGTAAACGAAAATGGTTTGGACAAATTGATGTTTATTTGTCAAGTCTGCACACAATTGAACCCTCAGCAGCGCCCCCTTAAAAAGAGCAGTTTTATTGAACCGAGCCGAGGTTTGCTAGAAGTAAGACTGATCTATCTTGGCCAGGTTGTAGGCCAGGGATCTTCATATATTTACACAAGGTGGGAAACTTTCATCGGTCGATCACGATAACAAGAAGTGGTATGGTTATCATTGATTGTGTGTCAAGGTGGAGAGAGATAATGCACCGAGGATGAAAGTGTAGCCTATACGTGTGTAAAAAGACCACTGAAATCATTTTGGAGTAGGCCTATTGAAGATGTTTGTGAGGCAAGAAGACTGACACGATTTCGACAAGGGGAGAAGGAGGAGGTGTGTCTGGCCTTTGAGGGGGAATTGCCAGAAAGGATTTATTTGGACTATATAGGCTACTGTATATTACGCTACAGGGTGCAGGAGCCGAAAAGGAATAGAGGCGATCAGAATACCTGCATGGCTACGAAACGATTTTTGGCAATCACTGCTATGGTAGTAAATTGTGCTGTTGAAATAAAGAGTCAATCGGAGAGGATTAAGATGGAATTGGATGCTGCAAACCGATTCCTAGACATTGTTGACATATCGGGAGAAGAGATGGACATTAGAGTGATGGAAGGATTTGCACCATATCAGACTATTGAGTCTGGGTTAGCCTATATAATGGACAAGGTTTTGAATGGGAATACTTGGGTGGACACATTTGTTGCACTGGGAAACGTAATGTAATGCAACTTTTCTGGATGCCAACCCCCATTAAAACTCGAAGAAGAAGATGGCTTTCTCTTGCTCCCTATGCTTTCTCCTCATCTCCCTGCTGGGAGGACCGTTGCCTTTCCAGCACTTCTCCAATCCATGTATGGTTCGTTCTTTCATTATTTCGTTTCAAAACCATATCGGAAAAAACGGAAAATATGTTTTTTATGTAAACCCACAGCTGAGAACAAAGGAGCTGCGTTTTGTTTGATCTTTGACCGTTGTTGTATCCCTACAACTCCTTCTCACTCCCCGACTCGTGACTTATGGCATCGTCAAGGCCCATCATGTCTGTCTGTAATGCACTGGGGATCCCTATAGCGTCAGTTTGTGACGGTAAAGGCTGTTAGGCCTATATGATATTTATAGAAAAGACAAAGTAAGATCGTGGTTGGGGTGAATGGAGGGCCAGAAAACGGACTTTGAACCAGGAGAACGTTGTGCGTGTACAGTGTGAAACAAAGTCAATATTACATGATTGTAGCAGTGAGCACTATAGGCCCATTATAGCCACATAAGAAAAAAGAAATATGAGAATGTAGGCTACTTGTTTTGCAAGATCGCGTCAAGCTGGAGGAGCCACTCAAGCACTCAAAAGCCTCCCATTTCTAGATTAAGTACATCAGCATCAAAGAAGCATTTTGTTTTGGGCTGATCTGAAGCAGCTGGTTACCTGAGCGATCTAAGAAAATACCCAATTACAGGGTTTGATTATGCCCAATTACAGGGCCCGAATATGCTTATCAAGGCTTTTTCTCGAGGCTACAGCCAGGGTGTGAACTACGGGGAGCTTTACTCCTCTTATTAAGACATGAGCTCCCCTGAAAACATGATTTGTAATATTTTGGGGGGTCTCTAAAATATCGACAATATGCTGTTTTTGCCATTCATTTTCTGTAGCCTATAATCATGGATCATGCGTAAATCAGTAGCGCCAGGCTTCGTCCAGCCAGAGTGATCCCCGCGACCTCCTCTCTCTCGCCCGGCCCGCTCCCTCTCCGGTGGTAGACCAATGGGTTGTGTTGCCAGTGGAAAATAAAGGTCAGGTTGAAACAGTGTAGCCTAGAGAGGCTGAACGAAAAGAAAATTACCCGAACCTTTTAATCCATGTATGATTGGTTAATATACAAGCTCGCCGAATTAACTAATAATAGCTCATGTTTGCTGTGTACCATTGGATGTACTGACCACTATCAGTGAATTAATTTTAAACTGAAGAAATCTTAAAAACCGGAGGATTCTCAGGAAAGCGTTCCTGCTCCAGTTGCTAGTGAGTTACAAACTGTATATTATGCTATATTATATTGTCCTGTTTGTCAAACTATAAACCCACTTATTTTGATGTTCATCTTAATTTATTCGCAGTAGTAGAAGTAGCAGTTCCTGGAAGCTTGCTCATGCATTTAAGCTGATACAGTAGCTAATTAAGTTTGACAATGGTTTTGGAAGATGTGCTTGAGATGATGTGGACCACTTTTTGGGTCCTCACTGTTCATAATATTCTGTAATGAATGAGTTTAATTAGAATAATAGTTGCAAGTTACATAAATGTGCATTGAAAATTGCAAGCTGATAAAACCAGATTCATATAACATCTAAGGTTAAATGTAGCTCCTAACTGAGTAATACTAAACTTTAGAAAATTAGTCTATTCTCCCCACCTGCAGGTGTCATTTAAACTGGGGACACTGGAGACATTTTTGAAAGCATTTGTTATAAATGTTCTGAAACAAAACAAGAAATGTTAAATAAATGTGAGTGCTATGAGAGGTTTTTTTTTGGCACAATAAGAAAACGTGCAACACAATGTAAATATAGAAAAGAAACAGATCTGCATTGTACAAAAAACAATTACTTAAGTAAAAAAAAACAACAATTAACTGATTACTGCATTATATAATTATATTCTGAACACCTGCCACCTGAACTTTGTTCACCTTTGTAGAAAAAAAGACATTTCCATCATAAATTGGTGCAATAATGTCTCCAGAATACAGAAAATTAAGTGTTTAATGCTCAAATGCTTTTACAGGGGAGGACTCCCAGATCCCCCGATCGTACATTTCATCAAGGAATATTTATTAAAATAGTAAAATATCTTAAAGTCTTGTTTTCGTGACCCCAATATTCTGGATTGCCGCGTCTTGATTGCTAAGTGTAAACTCTTATCTGAGCCCTAAAATGTCCCCACCACTTTTCAACACAAAGTGACGCCCTGCCCACCTGTAACTGTCATTGGCTGTTAAAGTCTTTGCAGTGTTCATAACACATAGCCTAAGCAGTCCATCAGAATGCTCTCTATTACATAGTGAGCGTAGTGGTGCTTATGGGATGCACTCTGGGACGGGTATGAGGCACAGTATACTCACTACAAAAAAGTAGACTACACCACTGGGTCAAAGAACCTAAGGTCTGGAGTGGTCAAAACCTATTAAAAGTGGTCCGAAGAAGGAAAAGCTGTGAACTGTGTTGAAAAGGTTTTCTGATAGAAAGGTGTCAGAACGCACGAGTCATAGTGGAATCCATTCCTTCACGGGTCTTTAGCTGGGAGCCCACCAGGTGGTCATAATGTTGTGGCTGATAAGTGTACGATGTGTATATTTGTGTGTGTGCGTGCGTGTGTGCGTTGCATGTTTTTATATTCCGGAGGGGACTTTAACCTGAATGCACACTAACCAATGGGGACTGGGGAAAATGTAGGTCCAGCCACAGTATGAATTGTATCATTTCCCACAGCATTTGAATGCACCATATTTTTCTTCCTTTTTAAACCAGGTTTAGAAGAAGTGAGCTCTGGGCGTTTTCTTCGAGAGCTGGTCTAGAAGAAAGACTTTTGATTACTAGGACGGTCAGTTTGGGATCTCTGGGTGAGAAATGGCCCCCAAAACCATAAGAAAGGCAATAGCAGACGCGCTGGAGGACTTATCAAAAGATAACTTTGATAAGTTCTGCCGCCAGCTCTTGGACCGCAGAGAAGAACCCCGGGTCAGAAGAAATAAGGTGGAGGGTAAAAGCTTTTTAGACATCGCAGACATCCTGGTTTCCACTTTTACCGAACGCAGAGCTGTCACCGTTACCACCGAGCTGTTGAAACAGATTGATTGCCACTGTGAAGCAGACTCACTCGGTAAATATCTTACAGCTAGCCTACTTGTTTGATGCAGAACATTAAACTATTTATGTCCGCTTGCATGCAAATTAGCAATAGGCTAATTGTCAGCATTTCATCGAAATGGCTATTTTTTGTATAGGCCTATTGATGAAGTTGAACATCAAACTGAAACATTTTACCTTTCCTGCTTTTTTTTTACTTTCACTTTCAAGCACGTATGGCGACCACATTTCTGCTCTGCTCTGCAGTAGGAATTGCCAGTCTGTATTACAGGCGTTCAAACCTGTGCATATGTGTTCATGCATTCAACGATTATTTGCAGATTAATAGCGTAATAGTAATAGTGAATTAAATACCAATAATAATAATGAGTAGCGAACTGGTAGAGCTGATATGGAATGGATACAATCTTAAAAACTACAGTATTGGGACAGAGTAACCAGAGTAGGCCTATTGAAGCAGAGAATATTGAAGAAGAATATTAATACAGATAATATTACACACATTACCAAGTCACCAAGAGACCATGTGTTTGACACTCAGTGGTTCATTTGGGAGGGATGAATGTTAGTCCAGAGTTAATGTGTCCCACATTAATCCTGTATCTCAAATTATTATTACATCATAATTATCCTTTTTTTTTTTCTTCCTATTTTTGCAGAGGATGATGTATGTGAAGAAACCCCACCACCCTCACAACCTGGTCCCAGTGACAGTGAGTTGTTTTCTTAGTTTTCTTTTTTAAACCAGATTACAGATTTTTTTTACAGATTTTCCATTGTAGATGAGTTGCATTGTTTTTTTTATTTAACTTTAAGCTTTATCCTTCAAAGTTGTACGATGTAAACGTTAAGCCGTCAGACAAGTACATCAACAATAGGTTATCTATCTACAGTACTATACAAGACTAGAATAGAATACAACTTTGACAGAGAGTCTTAGGCTCATCAAAATATTAAAGCAGCGCAAGAACGTCTTTAGATATTGAAGAAATAGTAACAAAACATAATTGCAGTATAAATGAAAGAAATGTTCATTTTAGTCATTTCAATGATAATAAGAAAAAAATTTAACATCATCATTAACTTTTAATTTTTTACCATGAAAGAAAGCCTTTTTTTTGCCATGTGTATGGAAACACAATCTATGCATAAACACTAGTCTTGAGACCAATATACTAAATTGATTTCAGCAGCAAGACCCTCAGCTGGAGCAACTAGTGTAAATACCATGGCAGACAGTAGTTGATGTCTTCTCTGTAAATGCCATGTACTCTATTAAGAACAGGCCTAACCTGTTCTACAGACTACAGGCTCCAGAGTAGTGAAAGAAACAGTGGCCACTGATAAGCGCTGTAGGTGTGTTGGATTTAAATTATTAGTTTGACATTTTGAGAAAATATGCCTTTTTGTGTTTTTACCTTTAGATGAGAAGATCGATACCACTCATGTCTGTGCGTTAAAAATAGAGCTAGAGCCAGGAGATGGTTATCATAAAGTCTGGAAGCAAGGGAATCGGCTAGCCTGGCTCTGTCCAAATTTTAATTCTACCGCCACCTCTAAAGCTCACTAATTTACACATTATCTTTTTGTTTAATCCCTTCAAAAACTTGAAAATTTGGACAGGCCAACTGTTCCCCCATGTTTTCTGTCTCTAGCTTAATTTTTAGTGTACTGATCTAGTATCAATCTTGTCATCTCAGTTCAGCTCAAGAAAGCCAGTGTGTTTCCCAAATTGTCAGAGCTTTAAATGGCATTTGGAGAATGCGTCATAACTGTAAAATGTAGACCTTAGTCTTTCAGATTAATTCTAAAGTTATAAATCCACTATATGAAAATGTTAAATTCTTTTCAAAAACATCAAAATTAATACCTGATGCGTCAATTTTCCTCTAAAACACTGTTGTATGAGTCATGTTTGTGTTTTATTTAATCTTCATTAGCAACTGTAACAACAGTAAGTACTTGTCCTGGGACCCACATGCAGTTTAAATGCTTCTGTGGATTTTAATGCACATAGAAATCACTGTTAGAGAATCTTAAGTCCTTTTCTCAGAAAAATCCAAGGATTGTGTTGTCTGTGTTTTTAACATTTGATGAATCTCAGTCATCTATTTTTGAATATAGTGAGTAAAAGATATAGAATCTTGTTATGAAACTGTTTTCAACAGGGATGCACTAAAATGAAAATTCTTGGCTGAAGCTGAAACCGAATATAATTAAAAAAATCACCGAACAAGTACATTTACATTGTTTCATTTATTTGGCCTTTTTTTACCATAAATTAAATAGTCAAAATGTGCTTTTTACCCAGTGTTTCCCACATGATTTGGAGAGACTATGGTGGGTGGGTGCGGTAAAGTAAATTACATGTGTCCATTTACTTTTAATGTACACATGTAAAATGTTTTATACTTTTTGTGAATATAATCCAATTAGCCTAATCTTATTTCCATACAGTATAAACATCTTATATTGAAAAACGGACGTTGTCATGTGTATCCTCGCGCTAAGTCCGACCCAATTTGATAAACAACATTGTAGGTGGTTCTCGTATGGCGTAACATACAGACTTCATAGCCTCTCTTCAGGTAGGACACTCATACTGAAACACTTGTCTTTGTAAAGAGAAAATGACAGGATAAAGTCGCTCACCTGTCTGTCAGCTCGCACTGGTCCGTTTCACTTACCATAAAGGCTTGAATACGTGTGCACTCCAAATTTAGGTGCGGCTAGCTTAATCGCCTTCTCAGAAACGAGTGACTGATACACTCAAAGTGAGTCAGACCGTTTGTTACCTTTCCTAAAAAGTCAGCCACAGATGGAGTGGATGTGCTAGGAGACAATTCAGCAGAACCGTGTCTGCAAACAGAGATTTTTAGGTCTTTCTAGGAGACTTTACACTTTAAAATGCTTCCACACTGCCGATTAGCAACATAATTGTTCGGTAATATTTATTCGGTCTTTTGACTTATTACGCCAATTAATTTCGGTGGCCGAACATTTGGTGCATCCCTAGTTTTCAAAAGAAATGTTATATCAGCTTCATGTTATCTACAAATCCAGTTAGTCACTGTAGTAATTTTATCCTCTTTCCTCAGCCTCTTTACAGTTTGTGGAGAAACATAAAGTGGAGTTGTTTCAGAGAGTGAGCAACATTGCACCCATTCTGGATGAGCTATTCGACAAAAATGTCCTCCAACCAGAGATTTATGAAACAATCAGGGCTCTGCCTACCTCTCAGGCGAAGATGAGAGAAATCTACCTATGTTGCCTGAAAGGTGGTGAAGCCTGCAAAAACATCTTATATGAAATCCTTGAGAGAAATGAGCCATATCTAATTGCTGACCTCAAGGAAAAGAAGTAAATGTTGTGGTGAAATCTACGGAAGCACATTGCATTCACAAAGAAAAAAAAATTGGAAGCCTTATCTCATAATTACGAGATCCTGATGTCGTAATTATGAGAAAAGATGTCGTAATTATGAGAAAAGATCTCGTAATTAGAGATGACTAGAAAGGTGCCATTTATTACTGAGTTCAGTAAAGTTGGAAATATTCACAGATTCGAGCTTCCAGGATCAATAACTCGTAAGCAAAACGTGTTAAAAACACAAACGACGCCTCTTTACTATCGTAGTTAAGTAGACAACAAGCTACAAGTACATTTTCACATAAAGAGTCTTCCTAGGATCGGCACAAATAACATTGGTCTCTACGTGCAGCCGGCTGTGAGACGAGTGCGCAGGGACCGTCTACAAAGTGCAACACCGAAAACACATTCTGCAGAGATATTCAATAACTTCACACTTATACAATATAGTGCCCCCAAAATCACCTTACACATTAATGATATACTGCTGGTTTTACTACAACACTTAGTTTGGGGGGGAAAAAGACTTTTGCATACCTAATATTAGGTAGTCGATTTTTAATATTCAATAACTACAATGTTAAAGGCTGTAGAGTCTCAAAAATCACCCCAGGTATAGTGATCTCATGTTGATGATTACAAACTTAATTTGTAGAAATATTGTTTAACTTCACTTTTAAGAGTTTTAGTGTCTCAAAAATCACCCCACAAATCATTGATATTCTGCTTGTGATAGTTCAACACTTGTAGAAATATAGTTTTGCATAATTTTGGAGAATTTCTATCTTCAGTAACTTTACTATTATAAGCTGTATTGTCTCCAAAATCACCCTACATGTCAGTGATCTAATGCTTGTGATACTACAATCATCAATGGTCTCATGTTGAGAACAGGTGCCACCAATAAGGCAGACGGACAACTTCCCCTGAAGGTCTGCCAAATAACATCCCCCAACACTTTAAAGAACTTTACATCGTGTCTGTTTGGGAACAATCTGGGAACATTATAAGGCAATGTCCTTGACACCAGCAGGAAAGTTATCAAAATGTTCTAGGAAAGTAAAATGTCTAGCTGGGTATCTGTATAACAGTGAAGTCATATTATTAAAATCCCCCAAAATTACCTCAAAGAAAAGTTTTTCAAACTAAGTGTTGTAGTATCATCAATAGAAGACCACTGATGATTGAAGTGATTTTGGAGACACTACTGCTTATAACATGAAAGTTATTCATTTAGCACACACTTTTATCCAAAGCGACTTACAATCGCTATATATGTCAGAGGTCGCACGCCTCTGGAGCAACTAGGGGTTTGAACCTGGGTCTCTCACATCAAAGGCATTTGTCTTATCCACTGCCCCATCACCACCCCTTAGCAGTACCAGTGAAGTATTGAATATTAAAATTCCCCAAATCATGCAAAACTATATTCTATAAACTAAGTGTGTAGTATCACAAGCAGGATATCAATGATTTGTGGGGTGATTTTTGAGACTCTACAGCCTTTAACAGCGAAGTTATTGAATATTAAAAATATGGGTATGCAAAAGTCTTTTTTACCCTAAATTAAGTGTTGTAGTATAACCAGCAGTATATCATTAATGTGTAAGGTGGTTTGGGGGGCACTATATTGTATAAGTGTGAAGTTATTGAATATCTCTGCAGAATGTGTTAATTCTGCAGATGTGATAAAATGTGCACTTTGTAGACGGTCCCTGCGCACTTCTCACAGCTGGCTGCACATAGAAACCAATGTTATTTATGCAGCTCCGAGGAAGACTCATTTATGTGACAATGTACTTGTGCTTGTTGTCTACTTAACTACGATAATAAAGAGGCGTCACTTTGCTTATGAGTTATTGATCCCGGAAGCTTGAATCTGTAAATATAGGCTATTTCCAACTTTACCATTATCTAGTAATTACGAGATCCGGATCTCATAATTTCGAGATCTTATCTCGTAATTATGACATCTTTTCTCGTAATTATGAGATAAGGCTTCCAATTTTTTTTCTCTTCCGTAGAAATCCATTTTCAGATTTCATAACATTTTTAGTCTACCTGAACACAAAATGTTTTTATACATTAACTCTGTGGAAATTTTATTGTTAATGCTAATTCTATGTGGGGGTTTTCTTTAAAATATATTTCCATGCATGTTTATGTTTAAGCTGCCCCTAATTATTGCCCCCTCTTAAATTACTTGAAATTTGTATGGTATGTGGTGCCTTGCCTGCCCTGATCAGTGAGGCTCATTTACTTGCTTCATTTAAATGAGATGTGATTTCATGTACGGTTTAAAACCAGATTCAGCTAATGGTTATCAGATAATCATGTCAGAAATTAATTAAGGATCTCCCTAGACATGTAATGTTTTTATCCAACAAATAGCAAATGGATTAAGAGTCTGTTTTTAACCTAATTATTTTATGTAAATTATAACAGATGCTAAAAGATTGTTTTATCACTTTTATTCTGCCCAATAAGATTTAGTTTATATTTGGAAGGTCACTGAAAATGTTTTATATTTTTGAAATTTACATAAATTGAATTAAATCTTCTGATTGCTATGTGTTGTTCTTACACTATGAGTGAAGGGAGTGTCTTAAAAATTGTATTATTGTATTATGTGAGAGTTTAGAAATCATGTGCTCGTCTTTCTCTCTAGGTTTTCTAAAATGTGCACATTGACCACAATTATTTGTGTCAATAGGGAAATATTCAAGTATAAATTGATGCCTGCGTATCGCAGGATTTTTTCACATGCCTGCAAGAATGTAGTAGTCCTGAATGTTTCCTGCAAATGCTGTTTAAGGAACCAACTACCTTGATTTTAATTATTGTATTTAAAAACAAAAAAAAAAGTTGGGGGTCATAGTGAGGTTGAACAACAAAAGGTGAAGAGGGGTGTGAAAAGGGGCTTTGTATTTGGGCATGTCCGATCTTATCCTCTAAAAGTGGTGGTTGAGGTTTGGGAGTGGCTTTGGCAGTCAGTTGTGCTGGCCGAGAGCGCGGAACGGGGTGACTGAACGATTTTTGGGTGAATCCGCATCGGACAGAGCTATCTTCGTGCAGAACAACAGCGCCATCTTTGCTGCATCACAATCATGGACACCACAGGTAATCAATTGGGAGTAATGACTCCAAAACAATGTATAATTATAGATCCTGTTGCAATGAGTATGGCTCCTAGAAAGAAGACTCCCCCAACAACAATGGCCGATTTTCTGGACCAAAAGGCTCTGGCGCCTCAGTTTGAATGGGCAGTGGAAGATTTTAGATTGTCAGGATTCTTGTTTGAGTAAGGATCAGTTCATCTTTATACAAGAGAGCTTGGTAAAATTTTCAATGTTAAAGCACACCGCACATTAGTTTTTCAGCCAAAGACTGAGAAACAAAGTCTAAAGATTTGAGTGCTTCAAAAAGTGCCTACACCACACGATGGTGTGGGTCTGCTTGGAGAGCTCTACCGAGTAGAGACAGACCTTGAAGTCTACGATCCAGAATCCTACATCTTTTTTGTAGATCATGCAAGGACGATTCTGTCATTCATAATGCAAGGATGGGGACCCCAGAGCAACAAAAAGGCTACCTGATAATGAATTTCATATGGGTCATGTGTTTTGTTTTTGTACTTTTAGTATTGATTTGTGTGTTTAATGGTAACCAGAAACCAACATGTTGATGATGTGATGCATTGCTTAACTGAGTCTTTGATTTGTAAAAACATAGATGCTTGTATCGATTTTCTGAAAAGCTTATACTGTATATAAAAGTGTATATATCCTCACTGACGGATATGTTGTGTATGTCCTTGGAAATAAAATACTTGAGCACAGACATTGAAGGGTCAGTGTTTGTAACAAAGATCATGGGGTGGTGATACGAAATATATACTATATGACAATGCAGGGGGTTATGGAGGCAAGCAAAAACTTAAAAAGGCCATAACTGCCAGTACTGGAGTTCAGTGTGCAGATTCAGATATAGAAAACTGGCTCATGAAACAAGATGCCTATTCTCTTCACAAGACAGCAACAACTTTTTTCCTCAACACCAACTATTGCGGCGTATACCAGTAAAACAAACAGACCAGACCCACCAAAACAACTAAAACGCCACAGCAGGCTGAAACATGAGGATTTACACTGAAGACGCGTCACGCTGAACCATCGTACATATTGAGTCTCTTATTACGCTTTCACATACATAGAAAACCAATCACTTACTTTGAGTGATGCATGTTTAAGTAGTGCAAAAGGTACCTCAGAGACATCAGTGAAAGATGTTGACGACGATGGTAACGGTCAACAGAAAGTTCTTCCCATGCTCACCCTGCAGCCATGATCAACCCAAGATTCCTCACAGGTGAGCACACACACACACACACATTAATACAGACACCACGCCCCCGGTCACACCCACAGTAACTGATGACGTGACGATGCGCGTGCATGTACACTACAGTGCAAAGAAAAGAGAGGAAACCCAATAAAAACCCAAACAAACCCAGTGTATGGCTCCTACATTCCGGCCCCCAATTATTTTATAGTAATAATTGACCACCACTACAACCCTCTTGTGGGAGACAAACACCAGTTAGAAATGCAAAGTGAAATATTCCCTTAAAAGGTCTGTTAATGCCAAAGTTCAAGTCTGCTATATCCAAGGATCTTCACTGCTCCTCTGCTTCCTGCAGAAGGCAGACTTTGGTTATTGGCCTTGTCAAATAGCTGGTTTTAGTTTAATCCGTACACTTCGCACCAGTCCATTTTTGTCCGGAACAGTATCCACAATTCTTCCTATAATCCAAGCATTACGAGGTGCCATCTCATCCACTAGCACCACAAGATCTCCTGGGACAAAGTTTCTTGGCAGTATTCCACTTCTGGCGCTCCTGAAGTCCAGGAAGATATTCCTTCACCCAGCGCTTCCAGAACAAATCCGACATATACTGCACTTGTTTCCAGCGACGACGACTGTAAACATCCTCCTTCTCGAACAATCCTGGTGGCAACGAAGGTTGCAACTTAAGC